TTTGAATATATTTTTTTTTCAATTTTCATTCATTCATTGTTACACATTTTCCTCCCTGTGCCCACGACCCCTATTTATATATATTTTTATTATCCTTATTCTCAGATGCATATCTCAAGTATTTATAAGCAAAATGATGACTTCAGAATCTGAAGGGTGGGCAGGGAGGAAAGTGTCCAACAATGAATGAATGGAAATCCAACATCTCTGTAAACTTTCATTAAAATAAAAAAAGGAAGGAGAAAAAAATCCAAAAAGAGTCAAAGAGAAAAATAATGTAAAGGTACTTTCTTTTAAATAAGAGAGCCATTCTGCCTTAATTTATATTTTAAGCCCAATATCCATCAAAGAAATATGGATTCATGAAATGGAAAAATTAAAATTAAAAAAATCAAACAATCCCTTACCTGTAACACAACTCAGGAAATTCATCTTTGAATCGAAGGCCAGTTCTTAGAGTAGTCATCATCTTCACTCTCACAGAGCTGACATGCTTGGGTCCCATCAACTTCATCAAAGATATCAAGCTGTTCAAAGCCTGTGCAGCAAATACATTTGTAAGTCAAGTTGGCAAGAGCAGGCAAGACCTAAGGACAAGTATTTTACTTACATCTCAGGGTGGAATAGATTCTTTGAAAACACAAAAGACACATATGCTGGCCAGCTTATTTTGCTATGAGGGAATTATCAATTTGGAAAACACAACAGATGCTGTGTTTTGATGTTTTGGGAGGTGTGGGCTGGCTCCTTGAAGCTGATTTTGCCATTTTGGTAATGGCGCCCCACTAGAAGAGTCATTTTCAAACTAAAACCTTGTTTAATTTTAAGTATCTAATACCTTGTTTAGTTTTGTTTTTATTCATCCAAAACTGTTATGTGGCACACAGAAAAACTGAATTTCAAACTTCTGAATTTTGGAACTATGAAAAACAACTGTGAAGTAAATGGATAGCCTCAGAGTGATCAACAGGTGATAAAAATTTGTATCCCAATGGTATAAATATAACATGGATTCACTAGTAAAACAGACAAGTAATTATTAATACCTGTGTACCCAGAAAACAAAATACACACGAACCACATAATCAGACTTGTGTTCACAGCTGTTGCCAAAACATATAAGTGATTATGGTTTAAAACACAAATTCTCTCCTATTTCAACCAGGATAACAACAAGAAAGAAATCATGTGTATGGAACAACAGTTGTTCAAGGATTCAAACATTGATGGGCATTCGCCTCCTGTGCAATTTACCGCCTCTGAAAATCTGCTGGAGGGCCAGCTATGAGCCAACATCAAAAGAATAGGCATCGCTAATTTCTGTAGGTTTCATTATTTTGTTTCTTGGCTCTTGATGGTTATAAATAGCAAAGGGGTACAAACTGAAATAAAAGCTCCCATTCTTGAGTTTTCACTATTATTTTAACGACTGCAGAGGTCAAAACCAAAGGGAAATTTTCATCTGTTTCTAAAATTCTATCTCATCTATACCCTTACCCACTGCTGCCACATCAGTTCTGACCTAGAGCTGCTCTCCATCAGGTTCCAAGGCTGTAACCTTCACAGGAGAAGATCACCATCTTCCCCCCAGTCACTGGGAAGAGTCCAGTGGCTGATCTGTGGGTTAGCATCCAGATACAGTACATGCTACACCAGCAGGGCTTCTGAGCTCTACTCAGTGGTAATCAAATGTTACAGCATTCGTGATGAAGCTGTAGGTGTTAAACAGGCATGTGAACATAAAATGACAAATTCTCAGATTGCCTTACTTCAGAAAGCCTAGTATTTCTGCTAGTCAAAATCACTATGTGGCTGTGATCCGTATCAGAATGATCTATACCAATAAAATTCAGTCATGTTTTGTTTAACAGAAAGAAAACTGGTCTTTCCCTTCCACCGAGCTAGCCATGATTGTGAGCTTGAATCAACTGAGCAGTAGCCCAGGGTAATGCATCTGAGTCAAAAAGTTTATTCTGGGATTGCAGTGCAGCTTCTTGCCACTAGGCCACCAGAGCTCCCTAAGAGGAGATTGATCGTTATCTCATGAAGCAGCTGGTGGATTCAAACCGTGTGCCTTTGGGTTGGCAGCACAACTCCTTACCACTAAGCCACAGAGATCTTGAAAAGTGGAAGAATACCCCTGCTCATGGATAGGAAGACTCAATGTTGTGAAAATGGCAATACTACCAAAAGCAATTTACACATTTAATGCAATCCCAATACAAATACCAACCCCA